GAATTCACAAAGTTTTGTAGGAACATGGATGGTTACCTCAGTAAAGGCAGAGAAATGTTACAAAGGTTCACTGATTATCTATTGGTATGTAACAAAACACCCCAAAACTTGGTGGCTTAAAATAACAATAACCAGCTGGTATACTCTATGAGGCAAAGGCAGGAGGACTGTGATTTCTAGCTCAGCCTGGCCAGTTGAATGACTCAGCATGACCCTTTCTCAAAAAAAATTTTAGCTGGGCACGGTAGCACATGTCTATAATCCCAGCACTTGGGAGGCTGAGGCAGGTGCATAGCCATAAATTTGAGGCTAGACTCGGCTACATAATGTGTTCAAGGCTACATACTGAGACCCTGTCTCAAAAAAAGAAAAAAAAAAATCCAAAAAAAATGTTTTAAAGAGCTAGGAATGTAATTCAGTGTGAAGGTCCTGGGTTCAATCCCTAGTACTGAAAACAGAACAGAACTCCACAGTAGCCACTTACTCTCTCAGTTTCTGTGGGGTGCGTCAGGTGCTTCCCAGAGAGGGGCAGTGCTCTCACGGTGTTGCAGTCAAATGCTGGCCAGGGCTGGCGTCATCTACAAGGTCACTTCCAAGGTGGCTTGCTGCTGTGGCGGGCAAGTCGGTGCCTCCTCCCGGGACTTCTTGGGTGTCTTCATGCCCTGGCCTCTGACTTCCTCCAGAGCAAGTGATGGAGGAGCCCACGGAAGCTGCAGTGCCGCTTACGAGTTGTCCTGGGAAGTCACATACAGGCAGTGCTGCCACAGCACTTTGACCCGCCCGTTAGCTGCAGCTTGGGGAGGAGTGGGTGTATGCGAGGACATGGGTATCAGTATCAGAAGGTAGGAATTGCTTGGGGCCATCTTGGAGGTTGCCACCTCCAGCATCTGTGACAGGCCCTCATTTGAATAGTCTTAGTGTAACCAGGAGTCTGGCGGATGGGGCCAGAAGAATTAGAAGGAGAGTGCAGCGCATTGGGCAACAGACGCAGTGCACAGTGGGTTCAGCTGGAGAGGGAGGCGTGCAGAGTGGACAGACTGACCACGTCTGACCTCGTCAGAGAACGGCCCTTCCTCTGGGGGTGCTGGCGGGAGGGTAACAGGTACGCGGCAGATGGTGGGATTCACTTGCTCTGTTGGCCATGAGAAGCAGCTGGGAGGACAGAGCCTCAGGGAGGGTGGTTGGGGAGGCTGCAGGGGTGTGACTGTCCCGGAGGAGCTCAGAGTGCAAACAAGGCACAGGGGTTTATAGGTATGGGGAGGACGAGAGGCCAAGGAGAAAAGCCAGGAAGAGAAACCAGTATTTTTGTACCTTTACTTTGAAAAAAGAACTTTCATACTTTTCCCATTTTCTTTAAAAAAAAAAATCTCAGATTTCATTTAAGGGTGTATTGTGTGATTTAATTTTTACTGTCTGTAACAGCACACTAGTCTCTGACACCAGCCTTCCTGAGCTCCCAGCTCTGGAGTGTTCGGTGTCCCCATCTACTCACAGAGACGCGGCTTTAGGATCCCAGCGGTTGCCAGAATAGAAGTGTTTGTGCTTGTGCTGCTTATGACAGCCTCTGCTTCCTGCCAGGTGCCGTGAAACCTTCAGAGAGCGCAGGAGAGAGCCAGGGGTGGTGGTGGCATTTGCTTCTGATCCCAGCACTGGGAGGCTGAGGTAGTATTGCAAGTTCAAGGCCAGCCTGAGCTACCTAGCGAGACCCTATCTCAGGAAAAAAAAAAGGGCATGGAGGGTCCAGCCGCCCTGACCACAAGAGGCCACAGGAAAGGAGCAGAACCTTTCCCCCTCCTGTACACTTGCAAGCACACACATGAACTTAGGGTGACATCTAACCCTTGCCTTGTGAGCAAACTGTCTTACAGGAAACGGCAGGATTGGCAAATAGGAAGGAATGCACTGAGACCGCATGAGAGGACTGGCACCTTTAAGTGCATCCATTTAATTTTTAAAAATTTCTTCTGAACACCTCAAAAGTGCCTGCGTCAGTCCTAGTTTTCTAACGTTTCTGCCTCTCAGTACCCCTGTAGCAGCAGGAGGAACAGCTATGGTGATGTGGCAGACTGCTTAGACTGTTTCTGCCAACTTCCTGGCTGCTTTCTCGAGGTTTCTATAGCAACCAGAGGCAGGAAAAACCTGCCCGCCCAGCCTAGCACTATCATATCTGGCCCCTGTGGGGAGATTTAGGGGCAGCCTGTGGGGGAGCAAATGTTTTATGTACGTGTGGAGCTGCACCTTGCAGACTGGAAGAGTAGCGTCTCCTGCTCTTCCACTCTTCTCCCCAGAGCCTGCCCAGGCCACGGCAGCCTGCCAGCCATTTTGCTGCCACGTCCAGTGCCACGTGCTCCAGACAGGCTCTGCGCTTGCTGTTCCTCTTCCCCGCCCTCCCGCAGCTGGCCGTGGACTCCGTCCCTGCTTCCTTTAGTCTTTGCTCAGCTGTCACCTTGTCCTCAAAGGACTTTTTTTTTTTTTTTTCTGGTACCAGGAATCGAACTCATGACCTTGCACTTGCCAGGCAGGCGCTGTGCCGCTGAGCTAAATCCCCAGCCTCTCGAAGGGCTTCTTGTAACTGATACATTTAACCCCTCTGTTCTGGGGCTCCCATACTTTTTTCTTGCTTTGTTTCTCTGATACTACTGCAGTTACCACCCTCTGCGTTTCTGCTCACTGTCCAGTTCTCTGTCCAGCACGTCGGCCTGCCCTCCTTTTCACTGTTGTGTCTCAGCGCTCGGAGCCATGCCTCGCTCCCAGAGTGCGCAGCCGTGGTTTGCTGAGCAGTGCCTGCGTGGGAGGCTGTGGGGTCAGGAAAGGGGAGCTGCATGTTGAGAGTTAGTTGTCTTCTCGGCCCCTTGCGTGCTGCATGGCCAGGTGTGGCTCCTTGCTTCCATGTCAAGTACGCTCCTTCCCTGGATGCTTTTACTCTGCCCTTCCAGAAGCAGCAGCCAAACCCTCACCTTCGGGGTCGTCGGTAATGCAGTCTTCCCCGTGACCTCAGTTTGGATGTGTTATGTGGAGCCTGATGCAGGTTTTCACAGATGAGTACAAGCAGTTTCCTATGGCTCAGCATCGTAGCTTTCAGCACACCACGGCGTGGAGGCCCAGATACTAACAAACAGTAACTTTCTAGAAGTTATCCGGCCGTGGAGCTGAAGGCCTTATTTGCATTATCTCACTTGATCCCCAGAATCTTGGTAAGGCATAGGTGTTACTTTATCTTACGGGTAAGAAAACTGAGATTCAAAGAAGTGAAGTGAGCTTGCCCAACGTTATGACCAGTGGCAGCTGGCAGAGCCGAGAGTGGGGTCCAGATCGGACTGGAGACCTCTTCCCTTTCTATCCCTGTGCAGAGGGTGAGCACTAAAGCAGTGCACCCTAAGGCTGCTGGTGGTCACTCACAGCAGTAAGCTGTCCCAGGGCTCCCAACCAGTAGGTGGCGAGATAGCCACACTGGATCACCTTCTCGGCCTTGTCCAGCTGGTGGCCCCTGAGGCTGCATGGTGCTGCGGCAGTACAGTGTCTGGGAGTCTGAGAACCACGTGACACTCTCTTACAGGCTTATTTTCTCTTGTATGAGGACAGCGATATGAACTTTAAAATGTATTAACGATTGAATGGCAACAGGTAATTTTTAAAACCTCTAGCTCAGAACTGGGCATTGTGGTGCACACCTGTAACCACAGCATTCTGAGGCAGAAGGATTGCAAAGTCAAACCCAGCTGGGGCAATTTAGTAACTTAGCAGTACCCTGTCTTAAAATAAGAAATAAGGCTGGGGATTTAGCTCACTGTAAAGGCCCCAGATTCAAAGAAGAAGAAAAAAAAAGTAACAGGAACACTTGGGAGACTGAGGCAGGAGGATCACTTGAGCCCAGAAGTTCAAGACGAGCCTGAGTAGCTCAGTGGGATCCCATCTGTCTTGGTTACTTTTCTCTTGTTGCTGGGACAAAATACTCGATGCCCAAAATTAAGGAAGAAAGGGCTTATTTTATTTAGCTCACTGTTTGTGGAGGTTTCAGGCCATACTCGGCTGGCTCCAAGGCAGAGTAGCACATGGCAGAGGGCAACAGTTCATGGCAGTGGAAAACAGCAAAAGCGGCAAGAGCAAAATGGGAGGAGCTCGAAGCCCAGCTTGGTGGCACACACCTGTAATCCCAGCACTTGGGAGGCTGAGGCAGGACGATTATTGCAAGTTTGAGACCAGCCTGGGCTGCAAAGTGAGCTCAAGGCCAGCCTGAACTGCAGAGTGAGACCCTGTCTCAAAAAGACAAAAAAAAAAAAAAAAAAAAAAAAAAAAAAAAAAAAAAAAAAAAAACCAGCAGCAGCAGTGAGCAAGCCTCTTTCACTCCCTTATATTGTATGCAGGCTACCTGCCCCAGGGTGGGTGTCGCACTCACACCCATAGTCCCAGCATAGAACCATGGATCAATCATGAACTCTAGAAGCCCACCCCATGGCTGCAGGAGGTTTTGAGGGGACATCTAGACACAAACCATGACACCATCTCACAGAAGTAGAAGGAAAATAGAATGTGCTAGAGCAGACTGCTGATGTGGAGGGCGGGTGGAGGTGTTTCCCAGAAGGAGAGTTGTGTTGAGTGATTGCTCAGAGTCTGGCTCAGGAAAAGCCATTCCCGAGCCGCTGGTCGTGGCTGGGCTGTGTTCCTTTTCTCCCTGAGGAACACTGCCCGGAAGTCCGGTGTCTGGTTCAGCTTCTTAGCGGGCAGGGGCTGAGCCCAGTGCGCCTTGTCTCACAAAGCTGTTTTGAGAACCTTGGCTTTCTAGCGTCTTCAAATTGCATCCTGTCAGAATATTCAGTGGAGGGTTGTCTCTCAGATCCTTCTTCCCGTCCCTTTTATCCTCTTAGGAAAACAGTCCAACTTAAAGAAGGCAGAGCATGGTTTTTCCTCTCCACTGCTGGGCCAGCGCAGCAGTGCAGAGTGACGGCCTTGCCCTCCAGGACAGGGCTGTGCAGTGATGCTGTCCTTTGCTGTCCTGACAGGTGGATGTTTCTGGCACAGATGAAGCCTGAGGCCCTTTGCAGCTGTCAGAGGTCAGGATAGTAAAGGTCTAAGCCTGGATCTGCAACACGTGCTGGCTGCTCGGCACCATGTCAGGTGAAGCACGACTAGGCCCTCAGCAGGAGCCAGGGGTGGGGAACTGGCTTCTGTGAACAGCCTCCCAGACAAGCGCAACCAAAGGGAAAGGGTGCTGGCTGCAGGTCGGGGACAGGCACTGAGGCTCTGGCTCGGGTCTCCACACTGCCCACCGCGCCTCTTACCGAGGCAGCAGAGGAGGCGGCAAGGAGATGGAGTCTGATTGTTTTGTAACACGCTGCTGCTTCACCCCACCCACCCCCGCCCCTTTGGTCCTAAGCGTGCTCCTTTCTAGGAATTTTCCTTCACCCCATTCTTCCACCCTTCTGCGCTCAGCATCCACTGCGGGAGGGCGGAGTGCCTGCTTTGAATTTTGCGTCTGCCTGTTCTTGATCGTTCTCCTCTCCCGGTCCTCTTTGGTCGCAGGAGGCCACACACCTTCTGTCAGTGGCCCCTTCTCAGCGCTGACTCCAAGCATATGGCCCCAGGAGATCCTGGCCAAGTCCACCCAGGTATAGCATCAGCGCAGCCTGGCACAGCAGGCTCCCGTGCTGTGGGGAGAAGGGGCCCTCTGCAGGTTGTCGGGGAGTGGGTGGCCACCTGCACGGTGTTCGCCAGCAGGAATGGCATCTTAGCTTTGTGAGCCTGTGCATCAGTGACCCGGTGGGAGGAAGAGAATTGGTGGGGACACAGAAGGGCACACAGCATGTTTTTTAGCTTGATATTAACAACCTTTGAATTCTGAGAAGAGGAAGATGGCAGGAGAGTTCAGAGGTGTTGCTCACCCTATACTGGGATGACGATCAGAGCAGGCTTTATGAAAGGGTGGCCTTTGGTCTGGATGGGATCTTAGTCAGCCATGGGGGTGGCGTCTTTTGACACCGTGGTCCCAGGCTGGGACACACATGCCTTTCTTCCTAACCCTGTTTCTAGAAGGAAGAGTCGGCAGAGCAGTCAGAGTTCTGCTATGATGAGTTTGGGTTCCGTGTGGACAAGGAAGGTAAGGTTGAGCCCCGTGGTGGTCTGGCATATGTCCTTAAGGACTCCTGCTTTGTGACTCGAATTGCACAGCATGTGACCTCTGGAGCGCTGGGTCTCACTGCTCCACACCCATGGACAGAAGCATATCTGGGCGCCTTGCTGCGTCCTAAGCACAGTATATGAAACCTCTGTGGGGCCTTTTTTGTGTGTGGTATGAGGGGTTGAACCCAGGGCCTTCACACTGAGCCACACCCCATCCTCAGCCTGCTCAACTTTTAAAAATTTTTTGAGATAGTCTTGCTAGGTTGCCCAGGCTGGGCCCAAATTTATGATCTTCCTGCTTCAGCCTCTCAGAGTGCTGGGCTTACAGTTGTGTACCTCTATGTCTGTGACCTCTAATTGTTTTTGTTCGTTTTTTGGTTTTTTAGTACTGGGAATCGAACTCAGGGCCTCGAGCTTGCCAGGCAGGTGCTGTGCTGCTGACCTATATTCCTGGCCCCCTTTATTTTGTCCTTTTGAGACAGAGTCCTGCTATGCAGTTCAGGCTGGCCTTAAATTCACTTTGTAGCCCAGGCTGCCCCCGAACTTGCAGCAATCCTCCTGCTTGAGCCTCCCGAGTGCTGGGATTATAGGCGTGCACCCTCTAATTGTTATGAGATTAAATTATATTAATCTTTACCTCATAATAAAAGCAGTAATATTTATTGTATAGAAATTGAAAAATACAGACTTTAGCAGGATAAAGATAGAAGCAAAACTAACCCCTAGAACTACTGCTGACACAGTAGTGCATTCCTCTCCGGGCCCTGTGTGTGCAGATCGGGCGTGCGGTGCTTTCCGTAACTAAGACGACACCCTGTGCATGTGACACTGTGAGCACTTCCTGTGTCGTTTAGTGCGGGTTCCCGAGCCACACTCGCTCCCAGCCGCACCTGGTCTCTAGCCCAGCATCTCCCCGAAGTGTCCGTGTGCACGTGGGCCCTGGGCCGGGTACCCTCTCCTCGGGCGCACTGTGGCTGGAGCAGTCATCTTCACCTGCACCTTCAGTGTGCTCACATTTCCTCTTCTAACATGGGCTTTCCTTGTGCTTCTGATCTGCTGGCAGGTGGGAGTGAGACGCAGAGCTTGCAGGGACGTAGGGACCTTCCCAGGAAGGTGGGAACTGCAGCTTGATGGATCCCTGGACTTAGAGTCCACAGCGCTCCGCCCCACGGTGGAGCGATTTCCCATCTGGTTCGTTTACCGAGGCTGCTCAGAATGCACACTTAAGATTTGTGCCTTTCTCTTGGGAAGTCCTCGAGGTGGCTGTTTCTAAGCGCTGGGCCGAGGGCGATGGGTGAGAAGGCGGCTCTGCGGGCTCAGCGCACACGGGTTACTGGGTGTTGCAAGACAGCCACGTCTTCGAGTTCATTGAGTATCTCTGGAAGACAGCCAGGGGTTAGGGTCCGTCCCTGGCTGTGTCCCAGCGCCTCAGCTCGCAGTGGCGTCCCACGTGCTCCCGTTGCGGGGGCAGACAGGCTGGGAAGATGGTTCTGGGCACGGTGCGGGGGTGGGAGGTCGGATTAGGTAAGGCGGCCATGGCAGGCCCTCGGAGATGATGCTGGAGTAGACCAGATGCAGCCCCAGGTTGTGGGATGGAGGGAGCGAGAGAACCGAGGCAGAGGTGAAGCCCGGGCAGGGCGGGAGAGGGAGAGGGAGAGGGTGGAAGGCTTTTGAGTGTGAGAGCAGAGTCATGAGTGGGTTCTGAGTGGTGACGTGATCCAGTGTTGTGGAAGGGCCGCAGCGACTGCTGTGAAGGCCACGCGTTGACCCAGAGGAGGGGCTGTGGCGTGGCCTGTGCTCGCGGGACCTGCGGCTGGCAGTGGTTGAGGGTGGGATGTGGGGAGGAGGCGCTGTTTCAGAACCAAGGGAGAGCTGTGCAGGTGGCGCGCCTGGGAAGCGGCCCTGTGGGCCGGGTTTTGCGGCAGCCTCTGGCCTGGAGTCGGCATCGAGCCCCGTCAGGAGCCCTGGCGGCTGTGGGGTGCGGAGGGGACAGGGTGTAGTGTCCGCTGTCCTCCCCTCGCTCTCCTGTGGCAGCAAAGCCTGGGTCTGGCCCACTGCCAGGCGCGGCCCTGGTGGAGGACCCCCCGCAGAGGCTGCGGTGGCAGGCCCACCTGGAGTTCACGCACAACCACGACGTGGGTGACCTCACCTGGGACAAGATTGCGGTGTCCCTGCCACGCTCCGAGAAGCTGCGCTCCCTGGTGCTGGCCGGCATCCCGCACAGCATGAGGCCACAGGTGAGACGCCGCAGGGCCCGCCGCATCCGGAGCGCCCCAGCCCGGGCCCAGGGTCTTGGGAAAGACAGCACGCGTGTGGCTCCGTTCCTCAGCTGTGGATGCGGCTCTCCGGGGCCCTGCAGAAGAAGAGGAGCTCGGAGCTGTCCTACCGCGAGATCGTGAAGAACAGCTCCAACGACGAGACCATCGCTGCCAAGCAGGTGACGTAGCGCAGCCAGGGTGCTGGTCGGAGAGACCGTGTGTGGCCCACAGGAGGAAGGTGGCCCCTGGTTGGTCTCTTCGGCGGGCCTGGCAGCCCTCGTCCCGTGTGGGGGAAACTTGCTCCCCTGGTCCTTCCCTGGGCGCAGGGAGAACCATCCAAAGGGCCCAGTGTGTGGAGAGACACAGGACAGGTGGGTCCTCATCAGGAGCAGTGGGGACCTTACGTACAGATCCAGCCCTCGGGCCAGACCTTCACGCAGTAGGCTAGGCACAAGGTCCCACGACTGATGGAACCCTGGGGGGGCCTTGCCCTGGAGCATAAGGAACCCTTATTCTGGGCATCAGTCTCACAGGGCCTTCTTGCGGGGTGACATGGCCCCCCAACAGATTGAGAAGGACCTGCTCCGCACCATGCCCAGCAACGCCTGCTTTGCCAACGTGAACAGCATCGGGGTGCCCCGGCTGCGCAGGATCCTCCGGGCACTAGCCTGGCTTTACCCGGAGATTGGCTACTGCCAGGGCACGGGCATGGTGAGAGCCGCCCCAGGAACGCTGGGGTGTACCCGGGGGTCTTCTCCAGGCCCGTGGTGCCTTGTGACGCCTTCCTCCCGGGCGGAGGATGGGAGGTGGGGTGACCTTGGGAGTCCCCAATGAGGGCTGGGCAGCTGCTTCTGCTGTCAGGCTGAGCCCAAGTGCGCTCTAGGGTCCCCCAGAGGCTCTTTCTGATTGGTCGCCCCCCAGCGTTGGCTTTACTCACCAAGACTTGGATAGAAGCCCATTGTCCTCCTACCTGGGCAGGTAGCTGCCTGCCTCTTGCTGTTCCTGGAGGAGGAAGATGCCTTCTGGATGATGTGCGCCATCATTGAGGACCTGCTTCCTGCCTCCTACTTCAGCACCACGCTGCTGGGTGTCCAGACGGACCAGCGGGTCCTGCGCCAGCTCATCGTGCAGTACCTGCCTCGCCTGGACAAGCTGCTGCAGGAGCACGACATAGGTGAGGCTCGCAGCATCTCCTCTGCACCCGGGGTCCTAGGACACTGCCTCTGGTTTTGCAGCTCTGAGGCCTCGGGACACATCCTGCAGAGGTGGTGGCCAGGTGTGGACACAGGCGTGCGTAGCCTCTTGTCACTCCCATTCCCTGGATTCCCTGACCTCTTTCTACCCCTTCCTGTCCTCTCCCCTATTTCGCTGTTCTTGGGGAGGTGTCCTCCCCTCCTGCGCACATGGCCTCTGGCCAGCTGCCCCAGCCCCAGCCCCAGCCCCAGCGGCTCCCATGCCTGCCCACAGAGCTGTCCCTGATCACCCTGCACTGGTTCCTCACGGCCTTCGCCAGCGTCGTGCATGTCGAGCTGCTGCTGCGCATCTGGGACCTGTTCTTCTACGAGGGCTCCCGGGTACTCTTCCAGACGGCGCTGGGCATGCTGCGCCTCAAGGTGTCATGGGCTCCCCGCCGCGTGGGCCACACTTGCAGGCTGGGCATCTCAAGGAGGGGGGAGGGGACACCAGTATCCAAGGACGGTGAGAGCCCCCCACCCTGCCCACCCCTCACCACCCAGGAGGAGGAGCTGATCCAGTCGGAGAACTCAGCATCCATCTTCAACACGCTGTCGGACATCCCGACGCAGATCAGGGATGCGGAGCTGCTGCTGGGGACGGCCATGCAGCTGGCCGGCTCCCTCTCGGACGTGGCTGTGGAGACCCAGCGCCGCAAGCACCTGGCTTACCTCATTGCAGACCAGGGCCAGCTTTTGGGGACCAGTGCTGCCACCACCACCCTTTCTCAGGTGCATGGAGCGTGGGTGCTCGGGGGAGAGGGAGAGGGCTGCGGGGACGTTGGACCCGTCCCTGCTGTGCACCCCCACCTCCTCCACACCCAGGGCCCAGCACAGCCTGTGGGTGGAGGACGCTGAGGAGGTGCGGGCAAGTGCCCGCTGAGCCGCTGTCCCTGCTGCAGGTGGTTCGGCGCAGGACGCAGCGGAGGAAGTCCACCATCTCCTCTCTGCTGTTCGGTGAGTGCTGGGCGCAGCTGCCCTTGCAGCTGCTGGGGGTTTGCGCCTGCTCCCCTGGGGCGGGCAGGCCGGTTAGGTGGCTTTCTGTGCCCCCTAGGGGAGGATGACCTGGAGGCCCTCAAGGCCAAGAACGTGAAGCAGACGGAGCTGGTGGCCAGCCTCCGAGAAGCCATCCTGCGTGTGGCACGCCATTTCCAGTGCACAGACCCTAAAAACTGTAGCGTGGTGAGTGGGGGGCTCCCTGGGCCTAACCTGGGGGCTCTGCTTCCCCAGCCCACTCCTGGGGCGGAGGCTTCTCCCCAGCCGCGGTCCTTTCTGTCCAGACACTATTTTTATTTTGAGACAGGGTCTTGCTAAGTTGCCCGGGTGGGGTTTGAACTTGTGATCCTCCTGCCTGTGATCCTCGTGAGGCCACCACACCTGGCTTGTCCACATCATTGCTGTCCTCTGGCAGGAGCTGACTCCAGACTACAGCATGGAGAGCCACCAGCGGGACCATGAGAACTACGTGGCCTGTTCACGCAGCCACCGGCGCCGGGCCAAGGCCCTCCTGGACTTTGAGCGACACGATGACGACGAGCTGGGCTTCCGCAAGAACGACATCATCACGGTGTGTGGAGGGCCCCTTCCCTGCCAAGGGCTGTGCTTCTGAAACGGGGTCTCAGCCGGCCGGGTGCGAAGGACCTGATGTGCGCAGGCGCCTGAGCCCCGTCCTGCTGCTCCCGTGCAGATCGTGTCTCAGAAGGACGAGCACTGCTGGGTGGGCGAGCTGAACGGCCTGCGGGGTGAGCCCATGCCCTTCCCCAACCCTGGCCTGGGGAGGGGACAGTGGGCTTCCCTCCCAGACAGGCTTGCCGCCCCAGGTTCTGCATGGCCCTTGGCGACAGGGTGGGGAGGGCCAGTAACTGCCCCTCATGGCCTGCTCTTCGCACAGGCTGGTTTCCAGCCAAGTTCGTGGAAGTCCTGGATGAACGGAGCAAAGAGGTAAGAGGTGGGCAGGGTGGGGCTCCCCCACCCAGGGCGTGGGCATGGGACTGGTGCTCCTCAGGCCCCTCCCTCCCCAGTACTCCATTGCGGGCGACGACTCTGTGACGGAGGGGGTCACAGACCTCGTGCGAGGGACCCTGTGCCCGGCCCTCAAGGCCCTGTTTGAACATGGACTGAAGAAGCCGTCCCTGCTCGGAGGCGCGTGCCACCCCTGGCTGTTTATTGAGGAGGTGAGCCTCCGCAGACACCAAGGTGGCCCTCAGGGTTCCCAGCCCGGGCCCTGGCGGGGGGCGGGGGAGCAAGTGCCTGTGCTCCCCGCCCCCACACTCCCACGGGCTCCTGTCCATCGCAGGCCGCAGGCCGGGAGGTCGAGAGAGACTTCAACTCCGTGTATTCCCGCCTCGTGCTCTGCAAGACCTACAGGTAACGGCCCCGCCGCTGGCGCCCCTGTGTGGGAGCAGTGCCCGCGGCACCGTGACGCTGAGCTTCGGTCCCCTCAGGCTCGATGAAGACGGCAAAGTCCTGACCCCAGAGGAGCTGCTGTACCGGGTAAGCAGGGTCACCCCGGCAGCCCCTCGGGACCTCTCCTGGCCAGTGGGGCACGGAAGTGACAGCCGTGCTCTCCCCAGGCCGTGCAGTCCGTGAACGTGACTCACGATGCAGTCCACGCGCAGATGGACGTCAAGCTCCGGTCACTGATCTGTGTGGGCCTCAAGTAAGTGTAGGGCAGGTTCCCCCGCCTCCTGTGGGGGCGCCAGAGCCGCTGCGGGCCTGGGGGCCGTGTGGGCGGGACCGCATGCAGCCCTCCTCCCAGCCTTGTCCCCAGTGAGCAGGTGCTGCACCTGTGGCTGGAGGTCCTCTGCTCCAGCCTGGCCACCGTGGAGAAGTGGTACCAGCCCTGGTCCTTCCTGCGTAGCCCCGGCTGGGTCCAGATCAAGTGTGAGCTCCGGTGAGGACTCGGTGCGGCCGCGGGCTGGGCGCTGGCGGAGGTGGGCAGCCCGTGACAAGCCTCCCTCCCTCCCCACAGCGTCCTCTGCTGCTTCGCCTTCAGCCTCTCCCAGGACTGGGAGCTCCCTGCCAAGAGAGAGGTGGGTGTGTGCTTGTCCCAGGAGGGTGGCGTGGCCCCAAGGAGGTGGCACTGCCGGCTCCACCCCTGAGCAGCTGTCCTTTGTGCAGGAAGAGAAGCAGCCCCTGAAGGAGGGCGTTCAGGACATGCTGGTGAAGCACCACCTCTTCAGCTGGGACATCGACGGGTGACGGTCCTGCAGCCACTCCACTGTGCCCACACCTCAGAGCCCGCTGCCTCCCCCGGTGGCGCCTCCCTCAAAAGCAGTGGGGCGCGGGGATGGCGCCGGTTCAGGGCTTCCCACTCCAGGCTCCCACTGCTGACTGTTGCTTGGGGCCAGCATCCCCCTCCCCAGGATGGGGTCAGGGCGAGGGCTTGGTCTTCCCTGGGTCCTTAAGCGAGTGCCAGCTGCCCACGACAGTTTGTACGAACCAAAAACCTGGAGAGGGTGGGGCCGCCCTGGTCGGTCTTTGCTCAGGAAGCGGGTGTCAAGGGGATGTAAATAAATGCTTTGTGACAGCGCCTCGACCCCTGTTCAGCCAGGGCCACAAGCAGCAGCTGCCTTTCTGGAACAACATGGCTCCTGTGGCCTAAGCCAGCCCCATGGGAAGGCGGGAGTAGGGTCACCAAGTGGGCCCTGGCTGCAAGGGTGCCCCGGGGCCCCTGCCGCAACACCCCGCTTTCCATGGATGGAATAAGATGGGCTGACAAGTCAGTGTTTGTGTTTTTATTTTAAAAAGTTCACACAGTTCCCACCTTTGTCCCAGCACTGGTTTTGGTGACTCCATCCCTTCTCCCCCGTGAACAGTCCAGCACGTAAGCCCGGTGGCCCGGGAGCAGGAAGGGGGACCCCCCCCCCCCCCGGCCTGTCCCAGGGCAGAGTTGGCTGCTGTGAGGCAGGGATGGGATGGGCAGCTGGGGAGCCCCTGGCGGGCGGGCCAGGAAGCCCCTCTGTCCTTGTGGCACTAAGGAGCCAGGCAGCAGGGCAGTGAGCACAGGCGGTGACAGGGTGTCTGCATGTCAAACACACGTGAGGGGTGGGCCTGCGCAGCCGGCTAGGCCCCATGGCACAGCTTAAGGTGACCCTGCATCCAGCCCTTCTGTGAAAGCAGGACGGGGGAACTGCACCCCCAAAATATATGCATATTGTACGCTGATATATAATATAGACGTATATACACCTGTACAGGAACGTGTTGCCACAGACCTCTAAAGGCTCACACTACACCGAGACGCTAAATGGCGGGAAGCCTGGGCCCCGCCACAGCCCGACAGTGCACCTCTGACCTCACAAAAGGAGGTCGAATTGAAACAGCCCTGGCCAGGTCTCCAAAGCTCCGGCACAGCCCAGAGCTGCTGCTCGGCGGCAGCTCCGCCCTGGCTGCGCCGAGCCGGAGCCAGCAGCGGCCCCAGCCCAGGGGGACTGTGATTGTCAAGGCTCACAGCCGCTCGGAGCCACGCGGGCTCCCGTCCCTCCCGCCCCGTCTCCGGAGAGCTACAAGCAGGAGTCCCAGTGGAGCTGCAGGTCGTGGCCGTCCAGGAAGTCCGTGGAGAAGAGGCTGGGTGCGGCGGAGCCGAGGGGCGCCAGGCTGAGCACAGGCCCGCCTGAGGAGAGCTCCAGCCAGTCCATGCTGTCCAGGTGGCCGTCGGCCAGGTCCAGGCCCACACTGCTGCTGGGCTCAGGGGCAAAGTGCAATTCCGAGGTGTCCATGGGGGACGGGGGGTGGTCCAGGATGGCAGAACTGCTCAACATCTGGCTGTGGAGGTCATCAATGAGGGACAGGGACTCCGGGCCCTCATGGCCACCAGTCAGCAGGGGCAGCCCCGTGCTGCTCTCCAGGAAGTCCTCCAGGCGCCCCGGGAGCGTGGGTGAGCCGGGGGGAGGTGGCGCAGCCTGGGGGAGCTCGGCAGTGGGCGAAGGCTGTGCTGCCAGCGGGGACCCGCAGGCTGCGGCAGAGGGCGGCTTCTCCTTCCCGGGTAACGGTGGGTCCTTGAAATCTGCTGAAATTTCTGCCAAGTGACAGTGAATGGTGTCAGGAACCAGGCCGGGGCACATGCAAATGATGGCCGACCCTTCCCGCACCCCGTAAGGACACACAGCGGGTCACACAGACACAGGCGCTAAACCGAGGAGACACTTCGAAGAAAATAGGAAATCTTCACCGGGTAGACACGGCCAAGAGTGGAAAGGTTTCTCATGGAGTGGGAGGAGGTACTTGCAAGTCAGGCGTTTAGTGAGGAATATACTCAAAGTACAAACTCAAAACAAAAAACCTGATTCAAAAATGGGCAAAGAACTTGACATTTTCTCTGAAAGAGCTCTAAATGGCCAACAGCACAGAAAAAGATGCTCAGCAAAGGAAAGCACACCAAAACCAAGATGACGCCACCTCATGAAGTGCAGGTGGCCAGGCCTGCGGGCACAGAGGCGGCTCGGGGGCAGCAAGGCTGAGCCCGGCCTGGAGGACAAAACAAGACCTGCTCTCAAAAAAAGTACTGGCCAGGGGCTGGGGTACCGGCACTGAGCGGTGGGGGATGAGGGCCCGGGTTCAGCCCCGGGCACCAGGAAACGCGTTGGCAAGCCCCTGGTGAAGCCAGAACCCCGTGAGCCGTCTCTAACTGTACAATGCCATGGCCGCTTCGCCACAGCAGTGGGCGCCTCAGAACCGTAACGGTAGGGCCCCCCCATCCTGTTTCTGGGTAAGCTCCCGGAGGAAGCGAAAGGTCTCCGTGAGGCACTCAGGCACTGACAGCAGCACCGCGCTCACAGAAGGCAGCGTAACCGAAGTGCCCCAGGGGACGGAGGGTTGAGCCTCACGGACATCACACTGTGACATCAGCGGGGCACCGTACACACAGGGCTTAGATCAGACAGGAGGAGGGATGTGGGGCGGGCGAAGGGGCCTGGCACGTTTTTTACAGATGGCTTCAATTTGCCCTGAGAAGTTACATGATCTCATGAGTGTCCCTAATGCCACCAAACTGTGCATCTTAACATGACGGAATGGCACGTTCTGCTACACTCGTCTCACCTCAACAGAAGAGCCACACAGCACGGGGCCTGCGCCCGCCCCTGCACCCATGGCAGGTGCACCCGACGTTGTGCGGCTCCTCCAGGAGGAACCTCAGCCCACCTTTCCTGCCACCTGCGGGCACCCTCTCCTGCTGTCGTCGGACCTTCGTGGCCATTCCTCAGTGTCCCTTTGGAGACGGGCAGCACTCATCTCCCGTCCCTTAAACGGAACAGTTCAAGGACAGCCGCCTCTCCTGAGGTTCCGGCAGGCCTCGCCTGAGCGCCCGCCCAGCCATCTGCAGCCTCGGGGTCCCCAGTGCCTTAAACACCTGGCTCCACGGCGGCCAGAAATGCTCCCTAAGGCTTGAGAAGCGGGACCTCGAGGGCCTGCACCTGTGCAACTCTCATTTTCTGCACTCTGGCGCCCTCCTGACCGCGAGCAGGCTGCGGGGCCGCGCCGCACCACACCACTCGGCCTCGGCCCGCAGCGGGCAGCCTCCGCCACAGGGCAGAGGAGGAGCGGGGGCAGGAGCGGGGCCGCTCGGCCCGAAGAGCGCGCGCGGGCCGCGGGCGTGCGGGGAGCAGCCGAGGCTCCTGCGTGACCCGGCCCTGGCCTCATCGGCTCTGCCCAGTGCTCGGCCTCTGCAGCCTGCCCCGCCCTGCGGTCTCCGGTCCCCCGCTCACCCGCCTCACTCCAGACAAACTCACCGCCAACTCCCGCACGCCTGCTCCCGCCCGCACCTCTCCCCACCGTCCCCGCGGCCTCTCCCGGCACTGTACCTCCAGCGCGAGCGGGAGGCCAGGCTTGGCCCTGCCTCCCCCCGGCCTGCGGCCTGGCCCCCGCCAGGGCCCCGCTCCC